TGGTAACCTAACAGTGTTCAGGGAAGCTTCCCAAACTGTATTGCTTCCAAATGCGCCCCTGCATTCTTTCCCTCACTCATGATCAAAAATCCACACAATAGCCTAGCAACCGGTGAGCGACGACGCTGTCTGGGAGGTTTTGTAAAGTGCATTTCAGCAGTTTTTAATTCCCAATTCCCATGGAAACGCATAAGTTCATCCCCATCGGCCCCTCCACCATTAACCTCTCATCTTTTTCCCGCTAGAGTATCCATTTCTTTGGTTATTCTTTAGGGAGAAATTTCCTCTTCAGCATTTTCATAAAAATTGCTATTAAGGGACACGTAGGCGGTGATGACTCACCTAGTCGTCGAAATGGTGACGTGTATGCAAATCCTGGGCTTTCAAAGAAATTTCGTCACAAAACCACCCAAGAAAGGCGATCAGAAAATCACCTGATTGCGTTGAGATTGCCAAAGAAGTGGTATGAGTCAGTGGGGCCTCAGTTTTGGTATCGCCCCTGTCCAACAAAACAGAATTTCGGTCGACGAACAGCGGGAATCGATCAGGGCCGTTGTTTGTTATGGACACATGGCAACCACTACACGCACTTACCACGCTTGCATTCAAAGCGATTTCGGGTGGGCCAATTTTTAATCCTAGGCCTCGGTCCTCCCCGAACTTCCCGATTGGGACTCAGTGGAATAAGAAGACTTTATGAGATGATTCATACCTAAGAACTATGAGATTTCTATGCGAAATCAAATTTTCCACCGAATCTCTTGTCTTCTTTCTGTTTTCTGCATCTACTCAAGGACAAAAAGGTTCAACCTAACCAAGAACCAGTCTTGTTAATTACCGATGTTGTTCACAGGGAAAACAGGCTATGGAGGGTACATAACAAGAAAAAAANACCACCAAATCTCTTGTCTTCTTTCTGATTTCTGCATCTACTCAAGGACAAAAAGTTCCAACCTTACCAAGAACCAGTCTTGTTAATTACCGGTGTTGTTCACAGGGAAAACAGGCTATGGAGGGTACATAACAAGAAAAAAAAGAGAGTTTTGCCAAAAAGCGAGATCAACAATCCCGATCCGATCGAATGCGTTTTAGTGGCTTAAAAGGGTAACAAGCCGTTCAACGGAACGAGTGAGCCGCTTACGATCGAGGTTATTTTGCCACAGGATCGAATTTTCTGGGTTCCCACTCAGGTAAGGGTTAAGCACGGTATAGAGGAAAAACTATAATATAAAGAGACACCTCTTCCTTACTCAAACCGAATCTAAGCGCACTCGCCTCTTCAATTGGATCCCACCACCATTCCCACCTCATATACTCCTTTATCTGCCCCATCCGAGGAACGACATTAATGGGGGAATGTGAATTACGATCTCTCAATGATTCCTTGAAATATGAGCAATTCCATCGCTTATCAACTGGCCAACAAGTGGCACGGCTTAGCACGGCTTTCCACTGTGGCGCTTAGCCACGAAAAAACGAACGAACTCGATAGGAAGGTTTTTATAGATATACTGAGAAAATAGGAGTCAAAGCCGGAACTACTAAGAACCGACGGCTCTAGATAGCATTTCGCAGTGACTCAACTTCTGGAAACAAATATGAATGTCGACATAATGAATTGAATTACAGTAAAAAGTACATATTACTGAATAGAGGAAACTAGTTATTCATATTTTTCCCGTAATCATTCAACTCCGCTCACCTTCGCCGAATGAGCTTCTTTTTAGTGCGGCGGTGTCATATGAATGAAACAAGTTTAGAATTCGTGCAAATGGTTAAAGAAGGTTAAAGAAGTGTTGCAAATTTCTAACAGAATGGATGGCCGCGTCGCAGCTGCGCGCGTCCGATCACATCAAACACTCGTCCAGTTACTGTAATTAAACCCTAAGTACTTCTAGCTTACAATATCAATATTCGAAAGAGAAAAAAGTCGGAAATGAGCACTTTCTGTAATGTGACAAGGAAGTGTAAAAGAGATTAAATATGACTTTAAAACATAATTTATTGAACTTACTAGACTGTCTGTGGTGGCGGTGGAGGATAATAGCCGGGTTGTTGAGGATAATAGCCGGGTTGCTGGTTGCAATAAGGTTGATTAGGCTGAAAAAGGACCCTGAATTATCCAGGATGGCAATACGCTGATAATGCCCGTTCTAGATGCTCTGGGTATGTCCGAAACCCTCTCAAAACTTTGAGATGATAAAAAACTGGTATAACTTACAGGATAACCGTAGTTTGGTTGGCTCATAGCGCGGTAGTCAGGTGGTGGTAGTGGTGAATGAGCAACCACACCGATAATGCCCCGCCTTCCTTTTGGCAAAGGTGGAAACCAGTCGTCGACAGGTGCTATGAGTCAGTGTTGCTATGACGTTTGTCAAAAGTTCGTTTGTTTGAGGTTATATAACTCATAGATGACACGCTGAATTGTGAAACCTCACACTGGCTTTCAACTCCTTTCAATGCAAGAACAGGGTAAAACTTACCCAGATGGGTGACAGCATATGGAACTACTCTGGTCAAAGACACCCCAATCTGAAACCCAAAGTTCCGCTTCCGAGAAAAGTTATGAGGGAGGTTACCTAGCGAACTTCCGCAAAAAGCCCAACACCCTCTGTACCGCTTTTTCTCAGCTGCACAATGGGGTGAATTCAATCTGAAACGAAATGACTACCCCTTTTTGTCAGCTGAAAACTGGTTCTTAACAAGAGTAGCAATTGCCCATTCCTGAGAATTTGAATAGAAAATTAACATGAAGTTCAAATTGAATCCCTAATTGTTACCCTACCTGATTCTTCTATGGATTCATTAAAAGTTAATTATTTTTCTGGTCGCTGTATCAGTACAACTCAATCTACTAATAATATCCGCATAGAATATCACGTGAGAGAATCAGAACTAACAGAGAACAGACTTAATGGGTTCTACAGCGAGTTTTGCTTTCACTAAAGAACAATGAATCTATTTCCATTACTATAAAACCAATTGGGCAAGCATACTGAGGTGGTCCTCGCTTTACTACCTTCCTGTATGCATGGAAAATGTTTTTGACATGCAGCAGGGCGTTCTTTATGTCAATCAGGAGATTTGATTGGAAGATTTTTTGTAGTCCTCTGAAGTTGGCACGTTTGTCGTCACTATTGCAGATGCAAGATGCAAACCCAGGCGCTATCGAAGAATGGGAGGTGGGTGAGGAATCATCCTGGCCTCTCCTGATGTGATGCTGAAAAAGACTTCAAACCTTTTCACTTCATGTTAGATTTTTCGAGTGTTTGGATCGCCTTCAAACGTCTCTCGTCAATGGTGACATTTCCCCCTGTAGGGACCATGCAAGTGGAAGCTTTATAAACCTTTCAATTATCATTACTCTGATCTGAGAAAGCAAGCTGGCCTTCTACCGTTTATCGAGGGTTCCGCGGAAATGATGACGTCGATTTTGGTATTGCTGGCGCTTACTGAGAATGACTGACAGCTCCGAAGTAGACCATGACAGTACATCTTGTAGTTCCTGTGAACCAAGTGAATCAATCCAGCAGATAGATAACTCTCTGGCTTCTTCTCATCACTCAATCGGAAGACTTGAGCTATAGCTAACTGGCAGTATGAACTTGTGGATGTGGTTTCCCCCAACACGCTACTCGCCGTCTATTCGTTTTGCAAGGACCTTGAGTGGCCTGTTCGTCCGTTAGAAGCTCCAGTAGCCGAGTTCACCCTTAGACTGTATCATTCCCATATGAAGATGGAACTGTACCTTTCCCATATGTAGATAGAAACTGAAAAACAATCGGTGATTTGGGGCCGTTCGCGTTGTGCACGAGAAACTAGAAAAACCTGCAATTGTCACAGGTAAGGCCGAAGTTAAATTCTCAAGTGAGGGAGGGGGTTTGGGAATCGTCAAAAATCAAAAATATCTGGAGAGTAGGGAGTTGAGCCTTCCAGTGGATTTCACATTTGTTTTACTGAAAGTACTTGTTATGCTATCAGAAGCTGTTCAAGAGTTTTTCTGTAGTTCACTTATACGGAGAAGAGCTCATCGGCATAAGGCGTGATAAATGGTCCACATTATGGAGCAGGCCGATCCCTGATGAGCTTTCACTTGGCTGTTTTCACTGAAACTGTTTACTGTCAGCCGGAAGAACAGAAAAATCAAAAAACAAACCCTCCAGTCGCAGCTAATTAATCCATTAACAGACGGGATACCGTTTCGTCTAGTATTTCATTGGTTACGGTTGATGTCACATTATTTTCAGACAGCACCTATGAGTAACTTTGAAAGCCGCGTGTCAGCCAGAGAACCAGGCGGCCACAAGTCGTGTTGGCCATTAGTCTTTACGCCTTCACCAATCTTATGGGGAAAAATTAAAAGTCAAAGGTGATTCGTAGCCGTTGCGATATGCTATGCACGCAGTCGCTCTTCTAATATATTCTTCTCAACCAAGGAGTACTTGAAGTCAATGAAGTCTGTGTTGAGGTTCAATTTGAAAGAGTGGGACAGACCGTATAAGATGCTTTCCTGCTTCGTTGCGTTGACTCAAACAAACTATATAGAGCCTCACAGGGAACCTGAATACGAGTGTGTCATTCAGACGTCCTAGAAAATTACAACCTTGCTAGACAATCGTGACTACTACTTTCGCGTCTGTTCCCGGATAACCTATTATTTTACTAGTTTTCTATTAGTAGTTTGAGGAACTTGACAGCATCAAGGTATCCTCCTCAACAAACCACTCCAAATCATTCAAAATAGAAAAATTCGCCATCTGATTCGAAAATTTTTCCTACATCTGAATACTGCCTTCGGTTCCCGTACAA